ACTGGGGGGCTGCGGGATGGAATACTGGGCCTGCCTGGGATTATAAACCCAAAAGTGCTTTATCTAAGATAGACAATCAGGGTAGATCCCTCCTTCAAAGAATGACTTTAAGAAAGCCTGGAGGAAGTACCCCTATGAAATTAATGTTAAATATTGAACATCCTGGCCCCGAGGATGCAGACCGATATGTAATAGGAATGTATTGGAAGAAAGGTTCCTACAACAAATTAGGTCATTTCTACCTCAGAGATATGTACCACTCTCCAGAGTGGCAAGGGGCTGATCATATGGTCCCAAATCCGCTAAAACCACATATCCAGTCCTTTAAAGATATGATGGCCATCGCTAACCCCACTTTTGAAGATACCATGGCCGCTGAAACTGGATTCAATGACATTAATTTGTGGTTAGAATGGATGAGGTATAATGCTAACAAACATAATAAAACAGCATATTATGTATGTGGCGGTGCCCGACCCCACCTTGGCACCGTCCCCCTAACTCTCCCTTTAGAGATAGAAGATTGCTTCTTAAGCCTTTTTGCCTACCAATATGACTTTAATAGGTCCCTCTGCATGGCATGGACGGCAGAATACCCTCTCTTAGTTGAAAATGTTAAACCACCAGATGGAATCACAGTCTATAGAGGTAATTACACTTGTTATGCCATGTATGACGGGATTGGTAAATTCATGGGTAACTTTTCTAAAGGTTATTGCGCCACTTACAGAACTGTTCCTATACGCCTGTTGCAACACCATACCAGGTCATTGGGGGATATTTACTGGTTATGTGGGGATCTACAGTTAAGATCTAGGTTGGAAACTGAGTGGTGGGGTGAGTGTACCCTGGCCAAAGTTATCATGCCCATTCATATTATTTCTGATAATCATCATGACACATACGACCCTCCACATACATCAGCCAGAGTAAGGCGCGAAACCCCAGTAAAAGGCAGTTTTGACCCCCACATTTACATAGATGCCATTGGGGTGCCTAGGGGGTACCTAATGAATTTAAAGCTAGAGATGAAGTAGCTGTAGGTTTTGAATCACTTTTTACCATAGTCACTGCCAACAAAAACCTTAATTGGATTAATTATATCTATTACAACCAACAGCGCTTCGTGAACTACACCAGGGATGCCCTCCAGGGCTTGTCCGAGCAATTACAGGCCACATCCCAAATGACCTTCCAGAACAGACTGGCCTTAGACATGATCTTAGCCGAAAAAGGGGGAGTCTGTAAAATACTTCCCGACACTATGACTTGTTGCACTTACATTCCAGAAAACACAGGTCCTAATGGTAAAGTCACTCTAGACATAGCTAAATTAAATAGACTCTCAGAGGAGTTAAAGAGAAACTCTGGAGTTACTGATCCCTGGGAAAAATGGTTTGGTTGGATGACTGGTTGGCAGAGAGCTTTAGTCCAGATTGGTATTGCCTTACTAATTTTTCTTTTTATTCTCGCTCTTCTCATTTGTTGTGTCCTCCCATGCCTAAGGAAATTCCTGCAGAAAACTGTAGACCAAGCAACACCAACCTTCACTCATCTGACAATCGATGATCAAGACCTCATCTCACCCTGTATTCCGCTACAAACTCTCCCTTATACTGATGAAGTGCAGAAAGTCTAGGAAGGGACAGTACAGGGACAGCGTCCGTCTTTATGGGTGGACTGCCGTACGGAGAAGTAGTGGATAAGCCACTATGGGTTACCAGCGGAGTGAAGAGTGTTCCTGAACCGTACTGACGGATGTGCTGCAGCCTGTTAGGGTCAAGAGAGGGATAGACTTGCACTTTGCATTAACACTAAGTCAGCGGTCATGGGGTTTCTGTGTCTTTGGGCTAATACTTCTTCTGATACTAACAAATAAAGTTTTGTCTTTTAGCAAATAACATTTTAGGGGGGACTGTTGTAGAATTATTAGGCCTCTATAAATCTGTAAGGCCCCTTTAAATCCTCTTGCTATACCTCTAGGAGGCCCCCCATAGTTTTACAAGGAAGCTTTGTCTATAGAACATAGAATTTGCATGTCAGCAAGAAATAGCTTTGATAAAATGTGTATTTACTAAAAGCCTTGAAACCTAACCTTGAGAAACTAACCGTGCCAGCTACACTCTAAATGGATGGCTGCCAAAGCACCCCTCCCATCGAGTGAACACCTCGTGCTAACAAGATGGCGCCTACATCTTGTGTCCACTCCCGTGTCAAGGATGACATCACCTCTTGATAGGAGGGTACCTAACTAACCACTTAACACCTGGACCAATCAATAGTGTCTATTTGTCTATATCTTGATTTTCTTCAATGATGTAATAATGCCTTTAAAAGGGTCTGCGCACCCATTTTCTGTCAGAAGCCATTAAACTTCTCTGAAGTTCTTTCATTACCCTGAACCTTGTGTCTCAGTGTGAATTTACTTCTGCGTGCACGCAACTTTATTATCTTTAATTTGGACAGGAACAGATAGTCATTCAAACTAATTGGTTTGCAGTAAATTATCTAGAACAGTTTAATCACTGTTTCTTTTAATTTTGAACCTGCAAACTATGCTTTCAACTGTGTCTCTAGGAACATTCAGTGCCTTCGTATTTTTTTGTATCCTGTTCTTTGTTTGTTAAGGGCAATGATTCCTTCTCTTAACTTTGTGGACCATTCTTATAACCTAACCATATTTCTAACATGCAGTAAAATGTGACACTCAACAACCCCCTACCCAGTTCAGGTATTTCAAGTGTTCCATCTAAGCCCTTGATTAGTTGCATCAGGTGTGCATGAGACAACACCTGTTTTGCATATCTGGTAGTGTTGGGAGGGAATCTATTCAGTGGGTTGAATAATTCTGAGACTAAAGAAGTCATTATAAGTTGCATTTTTAGTTGAATTTGTGGAAACCACTTAAAGCATTTGTTGTGTTGAGCTCTTTCAATTGCTTTTGTTTAATTTGTTCATTGCAAACAGCTGAAAGTCTGTAACTTTTGACAATAAACCTGATTTTCAATGGGGATTGAATAATTTTGATTACAACTGTATATATCCATTATCCTCACCAGTAATTGCAGCACAGGCTATTAGTCTTTATCGGAGAGCTTTTTGAAAAGTGTTGTGATCAGAAAACTGTTTTAAAATTTTAAAAGTGCTTTAATAAGCCGTGGAATGTAACTGCTGCATCGTTTGGTCCCTGTGGAAGGTTTCCTCATTCTGAAAATTAGCATTCATTTTGTGATTGTGATACTTTCATGAATCCTCCTCACTATGCATAGACATCATCTGTTTACGAGCCACCTATGCAGATAAAATATTTTATTTTATACAATATAATATCCTTTTGATGAAGACCACCACCAGTAAGTTGGACATTTATAAATTCAAAATGTTTTTATTACTTTCAATCCTATTATATTATGATACCAATTTATCCAGTGCATGTAAGTAGAAGAACATTTCTGGAACAAAACCAATTCAAGATTTTAAGATACTGGGCAAAGGAAGTTCTTAGGTAAATGATTCTTTTAAGACACAGTGAAAAAGGTATAGCATTGACTTCCTATAGAATAAATGATTTGTACCTAGTTAGCAGGGCAAACAGCAGTACTTGTGGAAACAGTACGACTGACACCGGAAAGGTGCCTGATACTTTCAAACAGTTAGCCCAGCTAATGATTATAGAGGCACACCAGGTCAAACATGTTATAAAAATCTTAAGCCTGATCCTGTGTAAGAACTTGACAGAATAACACTAGTAAAGAAAGAGTCTGTTGAAGGTAAAGCTAGAACCATATCTGTCAACCTCTCCTCCCCTCTGACACACTGTGACTGGTTCAATAACAAGTAAAATTATGGGAAAAAGCAAGGCATTTCCTTGGGGAAAATATTGCACACATTGAAAACTTTAAACAGACAATTTATAAAAAATCATAAATAATCATAAAATAAACAATAATGTATACAAGAAAAGTTAAACTAAATTTAAGATCCATAAACAGGAGTAGGAAGGGAAAGGTGGCAAATGTATCAGTAGTGAAATAGAGAATAAGGAGAAGTAAAAAAAATACATATATTAAGAGCTACCACAGCTTTAGGAAAAAACAGGAAGCTTACTGTCACCTTCAGAATCTATATTTACGGAGTGAGAAGTTGGGTCATATATTCCATGACTGCAAATATATGACTCCTCTGGTAACAGACCTTCCAAAAATTAGGTTATGTGCTATCGCTGCCAATTTCTCCATTAAAGAAGATACAAAATCTTAGCTTCCATCTATTCCTCAAAGGGAAGTGTGTCTTTCCTATTGGCCTCAGCCCAAAAATGAATATATGAAATCTAAATTTGTTTACTGCCCATGTAAGCTGAGGGTGTCAATAATTCCTAGTAATTATGCAATCCATAGACCAGGAAAAATCTTAGGTTGGAAAACACAAACTGTGAAATAGGGCTGACCAGAGTTCATTCCAAGCAGGGCCACACTGGCCCACCGGGTGGCAGGTCCGGTGGCACACTCAGAGGGGGCCAGCCGCTTCCACGCTGCGAGCCGCCGGGCTGGGTGGCAGCCTCGCTGGTCCGGCGGCACTCCTAATGCAGAGGACTGAAGGAAGGGGGAGGAGCATGTCTTTCTACCATGCTGCCTTGCGGTTCCCACAATTCCCAGCAGCATACTGTGCTTGGAATTGTGGGAACCACGAGGGAGCATGGTAGAGAGACATGCTCCTCCTTCAGTCCTCAGCATTAGGAGTGCCGCCGGACCAGCGAGGCTGCCACCCAGCCCGGCGGCTCGCAGCGTGGAATGCGGCTTGCCCCCTCTGAGTGTGCCACCGGACCGGCCACCCGGTGGCACATACCTGTGCAGCCCCCAGATGATGCGGCCACCGGGAAATTTCGGCCAGCCCCCCTGACTCCTCTCAGGTAAATGGAGAGGATGAGGGGGAAAGGCATAAGGCATAAAGACATAAGGAGAGGGGGGGAAATAAAACAGAGAGCGGGTGAATAGATAGATGCAGGGGAAGAAAGAGACAGTGGAAGGATAGAGAGAGACAGGGGGGGAGGGAGAGTGCCACAGGGAAAGGAGGGAGAAAGAGACAGAGGGGGGAGAGTGAGACACAAGGGGAGAAAGAGGGGAAATAGAGAGATGGTAGAGAGGGAGAGAGAGACACAGAGGTAGAAAGGAGAGAGACACACAAGGGGAGGGGGAGAAAGAGAGACTGGGAAGGAGAGTGGAGACATGGACACAGAGGAACAGTGAGGGGGAGAAAGAAACATACAGAGGGACTGGGAGGAGACAAAAAGGCACACAGAGGGGCTGTATATATCACTGGTGGATCCAGGAGGAATAGATGGAATAGATTGCCGTTATTTATCGCCCCCTGATTCCCCTCTCTTCTTCCTTGACCACTTTGCTGCCTTGTTACCCTACTTCCTCTCTTCTAATATTCCATCCCTAATTCTCAGGGATTTCAATATTCCCATTAACCCACCTTTGATCTCTGCAGCCTCTAAACTACTTTCAATTACTTCCTCCCTTGGGCTATCACAGTGGGCTAATTCTCCCACCCATGTAGCTGGCAATACCCTCGACCTCATTTCTTATGCATGTAAAGTATCTAATATCTGCAACACTCCATTTCCTCTCTTTGATCACCACCTCTTATCAGTTTGCTCTCAAGTACTCCCTCACCCAACAACCTCATCCTAACTCCCCTTAACTCAGGAGGAACCTTAATTCTATTGACCTCCAGCAGCTGATATTGATTCACAAGTGCTATCCATACCTTCCCTCTTCTGTCCCTCACTGGCCATTTCCACATATAAAACTACCCTCACCTCTGCCTTCAATGCTGCAGCCCTGCTCCAAACATGCACCTCGAGGAGGACACGCCCCCAAACATGGCATACTAAATCAACACGCTACCTGCAAAGTTGCTCCTGTTGTGCTGAACGCTCCTGGAGGAAGTCTCGCCCCAGTCAGATTTTATCCATTAAAGATTCATATTGTGTTCATACAGCACAACCCTTGCCGTCGCCAAACAGTCATACTTTTTCTCTCTCATTAGTTCATGCCCCCACAATCCCAGGCGTCTCTTTGACACCTTTAATTATCTTCTTCGCCCTGCTGTGGCCACCCCCTAAACTAACATTACAGCCGACAGCATTGCATGCTACTTTACCAACAAGATTCACCAGCTAAGGAAAGAATTCTCGCCACCTTGCCGTTCTCTTTCTCGGCCACACATAGATCATGCTTTTCCTACCCTTCAGACTTTCTCCCCAGCTGCTGAACAAGAGGTGGCTGTGCTTCTCCTTTCCTCTCGCCCCACCACTTGCCTGCTCGATCCTGTCCCCTCTCACCTTTTCAGATCTCTCTCCCCTTGTCTTGTGCCTTCCTTAACACACATCTTCAAATGCTCTCTCTCTTCTGACGTTGTCCCTGCTGACCTTAAACATGCCACTGTAGTACCTATCCTGAAAAAATCATCTCTTGACTCGTCCTCCCCCTCTAACTATTGTCCCATATTCCTGCTCCCTTTTTCCACAAAGCTTCTGAAAAGACTTGTCTTTCCCGTATGTCTCACTTCCTCAATTCCAACTCTCTCCTTGACCCTCTTCAATCTGGCTTCTGCACTCTCCACTCTACTGAGACTGCTCTTATCAAAGTTACTAACGACCTAATCGCAGCTAAATCCAAAGGCCACTACTCCACAGGCCGCCATCAGGGGGTGACAACCATAATGTTGTCACCCTCTGATGGCGGCCTGTGGAGTAGTGGCCTTTGGATTTAGCTGCGATTAGGTCACTTCCGGCCTGTCACTTCCTCCCAGCTTACTCTGCGCGGGGGGAGAGCAGCGGGAGAGCAGAGGAGACGGAGAGTGGAGGCCAGGAGAGCAGAGGCCAGGAGAGGACACCAGAGGCATCCACTCCCATCATCCCCATCCACTCTCCTGCAACTTAAAGGTAAGAGTAGGGTGGTTGATAAATGAAGTGTGTGTGTGTGTATATGTATGTATGTCAGTATATATGTCTGTGTGTATGCCAGTATGTATATATGTCTGTGT